GGACAAATCCAAAACGCGCTCTCACCTGCATTTCGCGCCTTGGACACACACGATCTCCGCAGAGGGTTGCGCCGGACAAATCCAAAACGCGCTCTCACCTGCACTGCATTTCGCGCCTTCGACGCGCACGATCTCCTCAGAGGGTTGCGCGCGACCGGAACAAAACGCAATCTCACCTGCATTCCGCGCCCTCGACACGCACGATCTCCGCAGAGGGTTGCGTTTCGTGGTGCTCCGGCAGCACCGCCCCCGGCCTTAAGAGAGAAAAGAAAAGAAGAGCGAGAGGTGAAGATGTGAGATGCGCAGATGTGAGGATGTGAAGATGTGCAGATGTGAAGGTGGAGATGTAGATGTGCAGATGTGAAGATGAGCAGAGATGTAGATGTGCAGATGTGAAGATGTGAGGATGAGCAGAGATGTGAAGATGAGCAGAGATGTAGATGCGCAAATGTAGATGTGCAGAGGTGAAGATGTGAAGATGTAGATGAGATGTAGTTCTACAAATGTTTTTTTACGAAGAACCCTTCGCAGACGCTCTCGCGAAAAAAAAGTGTGTGAAGGGGAAAGGGATGAAAATGGGAACCAAATGAAGGGGACGGGAACCGATGAAACCAAACCTTACAAAGACCTAGGAAGACCTGCCTAGTTAAAATGTACGTGCTGTGTGTGCACCTAAGCTCGCGACAGACTCCAACGAGTCTTGAACAAGCTTCGGCCGCTGCGGCCACATATGCCGTGCCAGAATGGCTGGCAGCTTTGACAGCTACGGTCACCTAACGGCGTGCCCGAAGGCTGCCTGCTTGTACTCAATAATTCAGCAAGTCTTGGCAAATGACTTTGGCCTAAGCCTACTTCGCCCGCTCTGGGCACGACGGGTCCACACCGGCCACTCTGCGGCGTCACGCTGAGCTCTCACGAGGAGAGACACACGTATTGACATGCGTACTGACTTGAAAGCGGTCGCCACACGCCGGCCTAAGTGAAAACCTAAGAAAGCCAGGACAGGTACAAGTAGTTCCCGGGCAAGCCGGCGGCGGAAGTTTCCTATAAGAACAAATTGACCTATAGGAGTGTCCACGTTCTCTCCAACATGCGCGTCCTCCAGTCAAACGCACGCGCTCCGGACTTTTGACCCACGGGATTCCACGTGTGTAAGGTGTGTGCCCCCTGCAGGATCAGCAGCTCACAACAGCGTACTGGGTTGTTTTTTTGCCACGACAAGAGGGGTGTATGACGAGTGGTGTATTGACCAGCAGTTGAATGTCCTGTCCTGCATAAATGCAACCAAATACTATCAGTATGAACTGTGCCAAACCTGCACGCCGCGAGAGATGACTCAGCCGCGAGAGATGACTATAGCGAGAGCTGACTCAGCAGCGAGAGATAAACGAGCAGCGAGAGATGACTCACAGCAGCGAGAGCTGACTCAGCAGCGAGAGATGACTCCTCCGCGTACTACACTTGTACTACAAAGTGGCCAGTTCTCAGCTTCCAGCTCCACAGGTTGTTCCGCGTGCTAAAGTTGTACTAGAAAGTCGCCAGTCAGTTCTCATCTTCCAGCTCCCCAGATGCTCCGCGTACTGCAGTTGTACTACACAGTCTCCGCGTACTAAAGTTGTACTACACAGTCGCCAGTTCTCAGCTTCCAGCTCTACAGATTGCTCCGCGTACTAAAGTTGTACTAGAAAGTCGCCAGTTCTCAGCTTCCAGCTCCACAGATACTCCGCGTACTAAAGTTGTACTACAAAGTCGCTAGTTCTCATCGTCCAGCTCGCCAGATACTCCGCGTACTAAAGTTGTACTACAAAGTCGCCAGTTCTCGTCGTCCAGCTCGCCAGATACTCCGCGTACTAAAGTTGTACTACAAAGTCGCCAGTTCTCAGCTTCCAGCTCTACAGATTGCTCCACGTACTAAAGTTGTACTAGAAAGTCGCCAGTTCTCAGCTTCCAGCTCCACAGATACTCCGCGTACTAAAGTTGTACTACAAAGTCGCCAGTTCTCAGCTTCTAGCTGCACAGATTGCTCCGCGTACTAAAGTTGTACTACAAAGTCGCCAGTTCTCAGCTTCCAGCTCCACAGATACTCCACGTACTAAAGTTGTACTACAAAGTCACCAGTTCTCATCGTCCAGCTCGCCAGATACTCCGCGTACTAAAGTTGTACTACAAAGTCGCCAGTTCTCAGCTTCCAGCTCTACAGATTGCTCCGCGTACTAAAGTTGTACTAGAAAGTTGCCAGTTCTCAGCTTCCAGCTCACAAATTGCTCCGCGTACTAAAGTTGTACTACAAAGTCGCCAGTTCTCAGCTTCCAGCTCCACAGATACTCCGCGTACTAAAGTTGTACTACAAAGTCGCCAGTTCTCATCGTCCAGCTCGCCAGATACTCCGCGTACTAAAGTTGTACTACAAAGTCGCCAGTTCTCAGCTTCCAGCTCCACAGATACTCCGTGTACTAAAGTTGTACAACAAAGTCGCCAGTTCTCATCGCCCAGCTCGCCAGATACTCCGCGTACTAAAGTTGTACTACAAAGTCGCCAGTTCTCATCGCCCAGCTCGCCAGATACTCCGCGTACTAAAGTTGTACTACAAAGTCGCCAGTTCTCAGCTTCCAGCTCCCCAGATGCTATGCCTGCCACGAAATCTGCGCATGGAGGTTCACAAAGTGCTGTGCCTGCCAGGAAATCTGCACATGGAGGTTCACAAAGTGCTGTGCCTGCCAGGAAATCTGCACATGGAGGTTCACAAAGTACTGCGCCTGCCACGAAATCTGCACATGGAGGTTCACAAACTGCTGCACCTGCCACGACATCTGCGCATGGAGGTTCACAAAGTGCTGCACCTGCCACGAAATCTGCACATGGAGGTTCACAAAGTGCTGCACCTGCCACGAAATCTGCACATGGAGGTACACAAAGTGCTGCACCTGCCACGAAATCTGCACATGGAGGTTCACAAAGTGCTGCACCTGCCACGAAATCTTCACTTCAAGAAACAAGTGAAACCTCTAATCCCAATGGACAGACGATTCCGACCATGCCCGAGAATGATCCGAGCATGACCCGAGACCGTCTCGCAACCGTCGTTCCGCAGACCTTGACTGGCCAGCTTCGGAGCCACCGGTTCCATTGAAAAATACAGCATTTCGTGCGTTCGCTATCTCTCCACAACGCATTTTGTATTGCGCCTGCTAGGAAATCTGCACATGGAGGTTCACAAAGTGCTGCACCTGCCACGAAATCTGCACATGGAGGTTCACAAAGTGCTGCACCTGCCACGAAATCTTCACTTCAAGAAACAAGTGAAACCTCTAATCCCAATGGACGGACGATTCCGACCATGCCCGAGAATGATCCGAGCATGGCCCGAGACCGTCTCGCAACCGTCGTTCCGCAGACCTTGACTTGCCAGCTTCGGAGCCACCGGATTGAAAAATACAGCATTTCGTGCGTTCGCTATCTCTCTGCAACGCATTTTGTATTGCGCCTGCCACGAAATCTGCACATGGAGGTGCACAAAGTGCTGTGCCTGCCACGAAATCTGCACGTGGAGGTTCACAAAGTGCTGCACCTGCCACGAAATCTGCACATGGAGGTTCACAAAGTGCTGCACCTACCACGACATCTGCACATGGAGGTTCACAAAGTGCTGCACCTGCCACGAAATCTGCACAGGGAGGTTCACAAAGTGCTGCACCTGCCACGAAATCTGCACCTGGAGCTGGAGTTGCCTGGAGCTTGAGCTGTTGAAACCAGAGCTGGTGTATGAGCGGTGTATGATGAGTGGTGTGTGATGAGTCGTGTATGATGAGTGGTGTATGATGAGTGGTGTATGATGAGTGGTGTATGATGAGTGGTGTATGATGAGTGGTGTATGATGAGTGGTGTATGATGAGTGGTGTATGATGAGTCGTGTATGATGAGTGGTGTATGATGAGTGATATATGATGAGTGGTGTATGATGAGTGGTGTATGATGAGTGGTGTATGATGAGTGGTGTATGATGAGTGGTGTATGATGAGTGGTGTATGATGAGTGGTGTATGATGAGTGGTGTGAGATGAGTGGTGTATGATGAGTGGTGTATGATGAGTGGTGTATGATGA